GCAGCCCGCCTTCCAGGTTGGGGCCCAAGGAATGAGGATTGTCGTTGGTTAGAGACGCTGAGAAATATGGCTCAGAATAGAAGTCAGTGGCGCGAATACTGTACGGTCTGCCTGTCGAAAACCCGTGCCCCGTAAAAAAAAAACATCAAAAAGTGTACGGTGAAACACAAAAAAATTTTATTATCCCAGTTATCTTCCATTTTCCATTTATCTGTTTCGCCCTCTTCCCACTTTATCCTGTATCCCAATCCACCTATCCACTATAACTGTTATGATTATCATTTTTGTGGCGTTGGCATCATGCTTGTCTACAAGCCGGTGTTTCACAGTCTGGTAGCTCGCACAAAAATGGAAGGCTGCAGAACAAGTTCGACAACTGGGGACGAAAACTTGAAAAGGATCACCTTGAGTCTGTATAAAGGATAAGAAACTACAGATCATAGGAAGACGAACTGTTGAGGTGAACTCTGAAGAGCAAAAACTAATACAGTAATGATAGCAAAGGGACAGACAAGCAACCGCCGTACAACTGGGTAGTGACTAAATTTAAGGTTAGGGAAGGTGTGGTGATCAGTCGGATAACCTCACACGAAACTCACTCAAGAAATGGAAGGAGCAGAATACAAAGTTCTACTTCATGTGTGACTGCAGTAGTCAAGTATCGATTGGGCTTGAGTTTTGCACGGTAGATGGTGAGATGTAGTAGACGAGCGTCTGGTGCGGAATAGAAAATTAACATTTTGCACAGATTCTATTCTATCTCGACTCAAACCTTTTACCGTGCTCTGTAATGATGATAAGCGGCAGAAACCACTTAAACTGTATTCGAAATTTTTTGGAAGTCTTTCAATGTTAGCCAAAATGGCAGAACCACACTTCGAGAAAACTGACACGTTTGATTATTTTGAAAAGTTTCTTATATTACTCATTTTCATGACGATAAGAAGCATAGAGTGCGGGAGCCAAATTTGCTGTTCACGAGTCTCACTTCTGCACTCAGTTAGAAACCGGCATTTGTAACAGGGTCAGTACTGGCCAACAAGCAGAAAGCCGTGACATGCAATAGGTGTACCATACTAGCTGATTTCACCTTTTTTGTGACATTCTTGTACATTTTTGAATTTTAATGAGTGATTTGATCTGAAGTGTTTGGGAGTGTGATGTATGGTGAAGATTCTAACACAAAGGATCGTTCTCGTTAGATCTACCGCAATTGCAACTCGGCCTTTTTCATCAGACGAATGTCAAACGGAGACCAAAAGTGGTACATTTTCTCTTAGCTCCTACAGTCAGGACACGATAGCGACGCTTTGTGGGCCACATGATGCCTCCCTGGTGCACACCACATAGTCAGCTTTTCAACGTCCTCGTGGTTAGCTGGGGGCCTTTGCCAATGGGAGGTAATCTTGGCATGCCAACTAAAAACTGTCCGGGTACCGTACACATGAAAACTGGTAAGCTAATTGTGATACGGTGTATGAATTTGGCCTGATGTGTTCTTCTGTAACAAGTGCACATGCGCTCCATCATTTCTTCACTTTCTCAACATGTAAATTAACTGCATCTTGCTTATGAACCGCGTTACGATCCGTCCAGGAAATGCTGGTAGAAGTGATAAATGGATGCGACTGGCTATGGTTTAGAATGAATGGAGAACCTGGGGGGAAGATTGGGTGGTAGACAGTTTGGAGGGGTTATGTAACAATAAAAAAGGAATATTGCGTCCATTCAGTGTTGCTTCAGTGAACTCTTGGTTGTTATCAACGGAAAGGTGGCGTAGCTGGGACACATAAGACCACGCTTGGTCTGGCCACTGCTTGAAACATGTCATGATACCACAAGATATTTTTTATTACACACCGTTGTGATGAAAAACAGATGGGGAAAGCCCCATAGTCACGAGGACCTGCTATTCAGTGATGGGAACCGGTTACTCAAGCCCCGGGACATGCACTGGCGAACCACATAAGGCCCCGATAGGTTAGGTGTGGTATTGAACCGGGCGACAGTGAAGATGCCAAAGTTGGGTGGCGGTGGCGGGGCTTGAGCCTCGGATTGTGAGATCCAAAGCACGCCGGTGAGTGACTAAACCACTGCGCCACCACCGAGGTAATCTGTTCTAATGGTTAAAAATTTTATTGGTAAAGTTACTGTGCGGAGCACCTCCGCCTGCCACGTGAAAGGCCCGGGTTCGATTCCCGGCCGGGGAGGTGACTTTTAGGATGTTGATGGCGTAGTGCTTTTGTCGCTGTTATCAGTGTACTTTGAACCTTATGGTTTGAGGTTCGAGCCCCGCCACCGCCACACAACTTTGATGGTAGACAGCTTTGCTGTGTGGTTCGCCACTTCAAGTCCCAGGGTTTAGGTTGCCAGTTACCGTCACTGAACAACAGATCTTACTTTACTGAGGCCGGCTCCTTGGAAAGCATAAGCCGGCTCCAGACATGATCATGGTCAAGATCATGGAGTTACTTGGGAGTTTGGTACGAGAGGCGTCCCCAGCGTCACTCGGCGCTTTTTATTTTGAGGGCGCATCTCTGGCCTTTGCACAAACAAGTGCGAACTGCAGGGCAGCAAGAAGTAATCCCTCGCCTCGGAAGTGAAGGGGTCAATGACTTTAGTTTTGAAAGGTCAGTCCCATCGACCTTTATCACTCCACCGTCATTGGGCTTATGTGGTTTTTAAATAGGAGCCAGGTGACCAGCCTGAAACCCACCGCACCCCGGTAAGGCCGCCGCCGTTTGTTCGCGACTGCTTATTTGTTGCGGTATGCCACAACTTATTCACAGCTAACCTTTGGTGAAGGTATCCCCTTATCCACAACCCGGGGACGCACCTGGTAGCCTAACAATAAAGTTGGATGGCAGTGGTGGGGTTTGAACCTCGAATCATAGGGTCCAATGCATACCAGTGACAACGATTAAAACACAGAACCACCACCACGTGTGACCAGTGATTCACAGCATTCAAGGTATCGTTAAAGCAGAAATGGCGAATTTCTATCGTTAAGTCTTTGTTCAAGTTTAGCATGACTTCGTCTGAGAAACCGATGCCGTTTTTGAGGCGAAATCGTTCTTAGACAAAGCGGTAGTGCGTTTTTTGTCAAACAACCTAGCAGGTTTGTAATCCTAGAGCATGTCTTGAAGAACAATAGGCCGTCGGTGGGAGGAAGACCATAGCATACAGTAGTCTAGTAAACAAATTGGCCGTAAAAAGGAGTGGAAGTCATCAAGTTGAAAAGTAAAAGTTATAAAACAATTTTGTTTATCATCTAGATTAGTGATATAAGAAAGCTTTCGAACCAGTCGATTCATCACAGTAAACACAACTGGTGCTTGGTTAGGTTGAGTCAGACCCAACCCCAGCATGGATTAGCTGGGGAACAATCCTATATAACCAACCTGGTGGCACCTCTACACGAAGTTAAACGGATAACAGACGAAGAATGCATGTAAACCTTTTGAATCTGTGTTGGTGACAGACTTCTAGATCTTGGTTACAGCGTAAGAAGGGATTGCACAATTTGCAACTATCCAAGCCAAGCCTAAGGGGGTAACGAATGA